TTATACAAAACAGCACACATTCAGAGTAGGAACACTGGAATGCTCTTTCACCCTGGAGATGATATAAAGTCCCAAGAGGGTTCAGGGTCATTCAAAACAAGGAAATTTCCCAAACCCCTATTTCTCCGTGTACAATTTGTGTTTGCATCACTTGAATGCACATCAATAAATCCCTGCCGGTATTTTTCATGGAAGCATCTTAAGAAATGTTGGGCGGCTTTTGCTTTTGCCTGTGGAGCGTTGAGTGAGTCTTTAGCATGGCGTTAATTATCTCTTGTGCGCTTTCATTGGAGTAAGCATTCTGAAAGGCTGAGGCAGGGTGACGCACTGTGACTGCTCTGAATGGGTGCGATCCAGTGAAAGGCAAATGAGGGCCTCGCTGCGGGCCTCCAAACTCAAACGATCATGAGGCAGTGCAGTGATATGGGTCACTAACAAAGATCGTGCCATTAAGCGCTGAATGCAACGCGGTGCGCCGTTAGAGTGCCCTCAGAGCACATGCTTAATTGAGGATAAGTGTGCATTAATACACTGTGCGTCACTGACTTACAGCTCTGTTAGCCGTAGCTCAGAGCCTCCTGCATGCCACGACAAAAGACAAACCAAACAGTTTATAAAAGGTCAAGTCAGAAATTTGCTCAGTGATGAATTTAAATCAGCAGCATTATTTTTTTTTGTGTTTCCGAAGCTGTGAGCAAGCCTTTGCGGCTCTTGTGTCACGGCAATTTCCTACTCCCTTATTTATAGCAACCGTATGCGTGATGGATTTTTAAATGTTGCATTTTGAGCTTATTTAGCCGCCTCCAGCCCAGTAAAGCAGACAGAGGGAACAGAACAACTGGCAAGTTTGTGGTTCTAGAGAGCGCTATCCTCTCTCGCTTTGCTATCATGTCATTTCCATGTTGTGGCTGCAGTGACGGATGGATGGAGCTGGCACTGGAGCAGAGAAATCCATCCTCATATTGAGCCGAAAGAGTTTGTAAATATACCTCGCGCCCATTGACACAGGATGTCAGTGAGTCGTCGCATTAGCTTTGCTCTTAATAGAAGTGAAGAGAGAAGGCTAATGGACTTACCTCTGCTCCGCTCCTACAGAGGAGCTTCCTTTAGGGAGGATTAAACTTTTCTATTTTTACTATGCAAATTGATACACGAACTGAAAGCTTCCCCCCAAAACAAAAGTCAAACAGACCTTTCACTTTTCTTGACTACCTAGTTTGTTGATATTTTTTTCCACTCTCCAGATTGTCTCTTTGATTTGAAGCGCCTCACTTTTACTTAAGCATTTAAGATTTCACGCTTTACATTAATTCCACTGGGAATAACACATTAATCCAAGCCATGAAATTATGATCTCCCATTTCCAACAACAATGGATTTAGCTCCATAAACGGATTTTGTTTGTGTTCTTTATCTCTTGCAGTACAATTGCTGTAAATATGAATTTAGGAGATCAAACCAATGCGGCTGCTTTGTTAAGAGGCTTAGCGTGTGAGAACAAAAAAAAAAAAAAAAAAAGGGGGACAAAAAACAGCAGACCTGCTGTCTATTCCAGACTGATAGAGCTGTTCCCACTTCCCAAAGCTACTTTTCCCTGTCATTTTAGAGGCTTCGAGACTGCCCTCAGGCTGTTCTCTCCACACGCCTTGGTGTTTGAAGAGCTTATCACTTTGCATTTTCTAATTTCTCCCATTTTCATTTCTGTGGCTCTAGCTGCCTTTTCGCGTTCTTTCATTTTTTTTACCACAATCTGATTACTTTGGGCCCTGCCACTGCGTCGTGCCCGGTGGCGGGGGAAGCCACCAGCAGGGGAGCCCCCAATCAGCCACGGATACAGAGCACAGGGAGCCAGTGGGACCAGTTTGTTTAACAAGCACTCGGAAGCCGCCCGGCTGAGCGTGCCAACGCAAGGGTTTTGTGTGTGCCTGACCGTTCATTACCGATGGGAAGTTTTTGGACAAAACCGTCTTTACTCCAAGCCATGATCACAGCCTGCGTGCACGCTGGAATGTGGGAGTCTCCGGACTCTCTCTGTCTTCTCTCGTGAGATTCGGTTTAGAACGGACGTGTACGCGCGCTGACCTGCACACGTGGAAGGTGTTTTCTCACACACCAAAGCTGTCGACTACTGTGCATCTCATCAGTCTTTGTTTCTGCCTCTGTGACACGTCAGTGCTGAAATCTGGGTTTTTCCCAGACACGCATACAGCTTTCATTGTGTGTTCCGATACTCCTGATAATGAGTCGATTGGTGTTAGCTGCCAAAAAAAAGCCTTTGACTTACATTATTAGCTTTCAAGTGAAAATGACACCTTAGCTTTAACTCCTACTTCACCCTCAATTTTATTTATTGCTGCAACAGTCATGCCCTTTGACTTTTTTTTTTTTTTAGGTCAGTAGGTAATTGTGTTTAACCATGAATCATTCCTGGTTGCATTTATATGTTAATGTTCTTCTCTGTAACTTTGACTCCAAATAAACAAAAGAGAGACGTGGCTTTGAACTACAGAGCGCAAGGGGTGATCCGATGTTGTTCTTATTCTTTTCAAGTCCCCTCCACAGCTGCATTGTGTGGAGAAGACTGTGTCATGTGCAACAAAGAGGTGGTCATGCAATCAACTTAAACAAAGACGCCCGTTCCCTGCATCGCTGAAAGCAATATGAATGGATAACCTTGGTGAAGCCCTTTATTTACAGCATTCAGACATTCTCTCTGCCTTTGCAGCTGTTGGGAGTGATGCATATATTTCTTTGCGGGGACTGGGGAGGAAGAGAGAAAAAAAAGGGGGGGCGAAAAAAAAAAAAAAAAAAAAAAAGGCCGAGGGGAGAAAATGTTGTGTGTGCGATTAAGGGGCTGGGGTGTAGCAAAAGCCCTAAAGGGCAAAAGGCTGTGGTGCTCGAGTGAAAAAGCTAGCTCAGCAGGAGGCTGATTATGCCACCAAAGGGATCCACTTCGCACATCCAGCTTGTACAAACTCAAACAAAGGAGCGTAGCAGCGTGCAGGCAGCTGAAAGTGAGGCTCAGGGTCTGGCCCTCGCTGTTTTTCTTCCAGGCAATGGCACTTTTATGACCATGCTAATAAAGTGCCTCTGGGATGGAGCACCTCCCACGCCTCCGCCTATACACACGCCAAGAACAGCTTGACTGGGCCTTAGGACCTGTGTTTATGGACACATGGATCAATACCCTTCCTAAGGGTCTACATTTAAAGGCAGAGTTGCGTAGTATACCCGTTGATGAAAGGGGGGCGGTGGGAGACCCCAAGATAGCCATTACTGGATTAGGAACAAGGTCCATGAAAGGGGCTGACACTGTTCCGAGGGAATCCCAAACCCGTTCTGCAAATCAAACCTGGCTTATCCGCCGTTGCTGTGGTCACTTAGATGTTCCGCAACCCCCCCCCCCGCTGTCGGCCGCATGTTAATTCAAGGTGCAGCCGCTGATTATGCCAGCCACATCTTTCACCCTTGATTTTTCACTGCCCTCTCTGGTGCAAATGCAAATCTGGAGCGTGGAAAATGATGTAGGGCCGTCTCCGACACGTTCCAGCCCCCTGGCATCTTTGTGTCGCTCCGAAGCTTACCTCCTTCAGCTCCACAGTAATTACCCTTGTTGGATCGCTACGCCTGATCATACTTGATTTTTGGGATGCACCGCCATTCTCTCCACTTGTTAGTCCCTCACACCGCTCGGTTCTGATGGAGCACGCTGATAACGCAGCAGCAATGAGCCACACACACATTTACGCATATATACATATATCCTCTTGGCTGGTGCTTTTATGAGGGACTTGTGTACATATATAAAACAGTTGCTAATTCATCGTTGTGCTGGGGATTAATCCCCGTAAGATGTGATCAGGCAAGGAGATGAGTATCATACAAGGAGGAAAGAAAAGACATGTAACATTTTGAAAAGGATAATTAATAGATTATGATTCTGCGAATTGTGTGCCTTATGGGGCTGGGAGTGAAGGGAGGGGTGTGTTGAAGTGGTTTCCAATTTGTTCTCAGTTTGTTCCAGTAATAAGATCCAGGCCTTCTCTTCCAATGGATGAGATAATTAACTCCTGGGGACAGACCGTGTAGAGCTCTATCTTTGGGTTTATGTCACATGCTGAGAGAGTTCTCTACAGCTATTGTAAGCTGAAGCAGAGCTGAGTAAATTGCAAAAAAAAAAAAAAAATTGTCTGATATATGTTTTACTGCTAGACAGATAGCACGCATGGTGGCATGTATTGATGAGTTTATCTAAGTAAAGAGCAAATGGGCTCAAATACATTTCAAATCAGGAGGTTTATGCCAGAGAGAAGAGAACATTGCGATTTGTCTTTGGATTTTCATTTCATGTCTTTGTTTTCATTAATGACATAAAGAATAAAGACGGTCAATTCAGAATGTAAACTCATACAAGGGAGCAGAAAAAAGTTTTTCCTCATCTTTGGCTGTAATGGATTGCTAAGATGAGTAAGATTTGAAAGGCTGTTCTTAGCTTCAAGGACAGCATTATGTGGTGACTCACTGCCGTGTGTCCAAGTGCTGCCTGTGGGAGGAGTGTAGTGTCAGCGTTGGCTGATGTGTTCTTGGAAACCGCTTGTCCAATGTGTGACAGCAGCGGCGTTAGCATGAGTCAGGTGGGGCTAATTTCCGCTGTGGTAACCTGCCTTTCTTTCCGGCATTGTCTCACCCTGGGCAGCTGCTCCTTTGGAAAGTGCACCCTAACGGTTTCCACAAATTGTCTCTTTGAACCTCCACTGAGCAACAGCCTTGTCTCATCAGATCATGTGAGTTTTCTTTGTGTGCCCTGTGACTCGGGGTGGTGAAATCTAACGTCTCTGTTCGTCTCTTGTTCACTTTCAGAAACATGCGAAAGCCTTTATGAAGCTTCGGCCAGCAAGTTAGCCTTCAACGAGAAAAAGGCAAAGGTCGCCCCTCCCACCCGGCATCCTCTCATCCATTCGCTGTGCTGACTCTGCAGTTTCCTTGGAGGCCCATCAAACATGGAGGGCCTACAGTCTACAGGCAGAACTTTATCACCTCACCGCAAGATGGAAGCAAGAGCGGCTCTGCTATTCTTGTGGATTTTAGCGATTCCATCCGTGTCAAGCGGGCAGACATTCACTAGTTTCCACCCTGAGCGGCGGGAATGGGTCTTCAACCACCTGACAGTTCACCAAACTACAGGCGCATTGTATATCGGAGCAGTCAACCGTGTGTACAAGCTGTCAGGCAACCTGACCCTCCTTGTTTCCCACGATACAGGTCCAGAGGATGACAATAAGGCCTGCTACCCACCTCTGATTGTTCAGCCCTGCACCGAACCCCTGGTCTCTACCAACAACGTTAACAAGCTTCTCCTCATTGATTATTCCCAAAACCGCTTGCTGGCCTGTGGCAGCCTTTACCAGGGGGTCTGTAAACTCCTCCGATTGGACGACCTCTTTATCTTAGTTGAGCCCTCCCATAAGAAAGAGCACTACCTCTCGAGTGTTAACCAGACCGGGACCATGTACGGGGTCATTGTGCCTTCCCAGGGTCAGGATGGCACCCTTTTTATCGGCACAGCAGTGGACGGTAAACAGGACTACTTCCCGACAATCTCCAGTCGAAAACTGCCACGTGACCCCGAATCCTCTGCCATGCTGGACTACGAGCTGCACACCGACTTTGTGTCCTCCCTCATCAAGATCCCCTCAGACACTCTGGCTCTGGTTTCCCACTTTGACATCTATTATGTTTATGGCTTCGCCAGTGGCAGCTTCGTGTACTTCCTGACGGTTCAGCCAGAGACGCCAGAGAACAGCATGTCATCCAGTGGATCCGGCAGCGATCTCTTTTACACTTCTCGCATCGTTCGCCTCTGCAAAGACGATCGCAAGTTCCACTCCTACGTCTCCCTGCCCATAGGCTGCATGAAGAACGGCGTGGAGTATCGGCTACTGCAGGCGGCATACCTGGGCAAGCCGGGCCGAATTCTGGCCGCGTCGCTCAACATCACCGCCCAGGATGACGTGCTCTTCACCATCTTCTCGAAGGGTCAGAAGCAGTTCCATCGACCGCCAGATGACTCGGCGCTGTGTGTCTTCACGATCCGTGAGATCAATGCGCGCATTAAGGAGCGCCTGCAGTCCTGCTACCAGGGGGAGGGAAACCTGGAGCTGAACTGGCTCCTCGGAAAAGACGTGCAGTGCACTAAAGCGGTGAGTTGTAATGAACGCATGCCAACACATAGGCGTACTGAAACTCCTGTTGTAGATGAATATGATTGAAACGTGCCTTTACAGAAATTTGACACTGGGAGATAAATGTAGAAATTATTGATCTCCCTAAAACCTAACGTATCTGGATATTGAACATTTACATCTAGTTTACTTCTTTAACTTATCTATCTATCTATCTATCTATCTATCTATCTATCTATCTATCTAT